CTTGAAGCGGTTTTTGGCTTAATTTGACTTGCACAACTTGCAAAACATAGCATAAGAGCAGGAAGGGAGAGACTGGGAAGACTGTCAAAACAATGAAGAAACGAACCCCATGGCCGTAAAGGTGGACAACTATTTGCGGTAGGCCGAAAAACCAACTCCAGACGCAAAAACAGCCGAAAGTTTAATGGAAAATATAGTAAAATAACAGTGGCAAAGTTAAGAACCAGACTAAAACTAAACTCAATAATAAAACTAAAACTAAAACCGAAGCACTGTCCGGAACTTTTCCTCCTGGTCGCTCTTCGAACGGAGAGGCAATCATGGGAGATGATTCCTAACCTGCCGGATGCAGCATTTTGCTGAATTATTGATTTCTGGTTGCGGTGGAAGATCTAGATAGGTGGAAGAGCACCGACAGCTGCTGCATTTTGGTGCTAATTGAAGTGTTGCGGACCAGGAACAGACCGAAGACAACGACCAGCTACGGTAATCGGATCTGAAGAAGAGGAAGCTGGGGAGCTTGGCCAACAATTGAAGTTTCAAGGAGCATACAGTTGGGTGTTTGCCTCTTTTTCAAGCAGTCCAAAATTGAATTTTCTTCTGGCCCCCAATTTGCATAATCAGCATTGCGTACAAGGAGAGCACCATTAAGCATACGCCTAGTTTGCCCAAATTGGGTCATTGGCTTGCGTTTTATCGCTGGCAAAAATTAAAATCTAAGCTCGAAAGTTTTTTTCTGTGTTTGCGCCTCTCCTTCGTTTGCTGTTGTTGCGGCTTTGTCCTAATCACATCACGTGCGCCTGTCTTGTCTCACATAACACACACGCCACACCCCCACAGCCCGTCAGTGGCACAGCCACAGCCATCCCATTTCCTTGTTGGGACATACACACACACTAGTGTGTGTATGCAACTAACTTTCTGGCCAAAATTACAGGAAGACGCCATCTGCTGGTGCTGGGGCTGGGGCTGGGGCCGTTGTCTGTTTCTGGCATTTGTCGCAATTGCCTTTAACTGCCCGCGCGTGTGCCCTGCCAACAACGTTTCATTATCAAAGCCGAGTTTGCCACTAAGCACGTCGTAAACAATAAGCTGGTCGTCGCCCTTCCGGCCGTCCCTCTGTCCGTCGAGCCCGCTTATTACTTTCGACCCATTACGGGATAGGACACCGAACACAGGACAGGACAGCTTTATGGCATGCATATCGTATATATAGTACATATAGCAATACGTATACTTATACTAGTTAATGGAGATGCTCTCCTCTCCGTACTGTACATATAAATTCTGCTTAAAATCCTTTAATATGCCGCATTGTCCTGCAGAATGTATGAGCGCCAAGGGAATTCCATGGCCAAGGTGGGGAGTGCCCCAGAGTGGCATGCGCCAAAAGGTACAGTGTATACAGAGGCTTAAACAATTATCGTTACAATTTCAATTTGGTTTTTGCTTTTTGATGTTGCTGAGGCTAAGAATGGCCTAAGGGGCTACTGGCTACCGAAAGCGGTTACAAGAGCTTGGAAGAGCGGAAAGCAGCAGATATTTCCATAAAATATTCAGCATTTCTTCAAACTTTAACCAAGAATTTAAGCTTGAACCTTAACTTTTATCCAATAATCGAAGAGGCAAATGAGAAAAGTTTTGTGTGGCAAACTTTCGCTGTAATCATCCTCTACTCTATAGAAGTTTCACTGTGTCAATGGTGGAATTTTTCCACACACTGCCGCAGCCTGTTGCAATCGACATTTCATTCGTGTAACAACTGTCAAGTGCGCGTCTTCCCATTCGCTTACTAATTTAAATTAAAATTAAACTAATTTGAAAATTCTTAAGCAAGCTCTCACACACACATATAAGTACTTCTTGTGTGTGTGAGTGTGCGGCAGTGTTTGCCTTACACATGCCCTTGCAACAGCAGCAGCAGAAGAAACAGCACGACGCTATGTGTATTTTTAACCCAAATCCATTAGAGAAGTTACTCAAGAATCCTTTAGATATTTATGTGCTGTGAGCGCAGTCTTAACCTCTCTGCCCCATCCGCAAACACACGGATATACACATAGCGACTCTCACAGATACAGATACAGATACAGATACAGATGCATATGCACTTGCTTAGCTGAAAGGTTCAGGCGATGAGAGGAGCAGCACCAGAGCACTGCAGCAGAGGTCACATCAAGTAAATAGCCAACGTCGACGACGACGACGACGTTGACAAGGATGGGGGCCAAACAAATACGCAAACATTTATAAGATTGCTAAGCTCATAACGAAATGCACTTACACTCGAAGATACACACACACAAATACCCAGAAATGTTTCAATGTAGCCATACCTCCATGATTTCCTTGTGCTCTTCTCTTGTATGCACTTTTCCACCGGCTAGAGTGATTTTCAGCAGAAAGAACGAATTTCCGACCCTCCAAAATATATACATATATTCTAGATCATCGCCAACAGGTGGGTCTATATGGGCAGGTCCTTCTGTTGCGATACAAATTCTGTTCGACTGAAGCTTTGGGCAGAACCTTCTTTCTGATGGATGCTGTAACGATTGCCGGCGTAAAACATATATGTAGTTGCCACGGGAATGAAGAATACGATAGGGTATTCACAGGCTCGGTCCCATCAGCTATTCTTCCTCTTCTTCTTTGTTGTCATGCTGCACACGCATAACAAGTATACGCCCCCTGGGACGGGTTGAGAGGTGAGCGCACGAGGAAGGGAGAAAGCGACGTCATCTCATATTCATGCCGGTGCCCCCTGAGGCAAAATCTGCAGACAGCGAGAGCGCCAAAGTACGAAAGAAAGAAGGAAAGAAGGCAGAGAGAGAGTGCGAGAGAGGGCATAAGCCAAAGGTAAAGGCAAAGCCGCAGCCCCCAACGGTGGGCCAGTCGCAAAAGAAGAGGTAAAACTATATATGATCGGGCTTAGCCCCCACGCTCAGCTGTGGGTTAATCGACGGTCGTTGGCCGAGCGCCAGTCCCTGTGGGGAAACGAAAAAGATGAACAAGTATAAACGAGAGATTCCGCAGCATTTGACTGGAGATTTAATTAACTACAAATTCAATGGGCGATGAAGGTATTCATCGTATTCATAATCACCGTCATTATCCGTCTGCTGCATGCATACCTTTGCTGTATCCTGCCCAAATGCCGCACACACACACACGATTATTTTCCATGCTTGCCACAGCACCCTTGCACACAAACAAACACCCATACGCAACATGTCCGCGCTTATAAAAAGTTTAATATAAATTTAATGAGCGCAAGAGCATGCAAATGAACAGTTCGGGCTCCACCTCCCCCATGCCGGGCTATTTTATTCACTATTTTTGTATTTGTGTGATGGTTGCAACAGCTGTGCGGCGCCGGCATCTCCCCTGTTTTCTCCACGAGTGCTAATGAGCAAAGTCACTTAAATCCATTGAAAATGTTGCACATTGCACATCCCATGCTGGTTCTTATTAGGGGAAATGAACAGGAATTTTGATTAGTCGGGAAACTGGACTTTGTATGGATTACCCCCAGGACCCATGACCATCTGGGGTTACTTGGTTTTGCACTTCCTCTGGCTCTTGCGTTCTATGTCTCAAAGTTCCGACTGCAAGAAGTAATCCCATTTCCAGCGTCTTTTAATTGAATTGGCTTCTTCTTTGTCGACTTTGTCACATCTGTTCCTTCTCTGCCGCCACGCCTATCTCTGCTGTACAGCCAAAAGTGTGTGTGTCTTTTTTTGTGCGCACTTCTCTTTTTGTATACTCGGTATCGGTGGGTATATTTTATTTGTGTGACAGATAGAATGAAGCAGCTTCAATCCGATGGAAAGTATTTTGGGCAAAATTAAGAAAACACATTTCCAAGTGTTCAAAAATGCAATGAAAATTCTCTCTGACTTTACTGATTTGTTTAGATAGTTTTTTGCATATCCACTAACGTATTAGGTTAGCATTTTGTATTTATGATATAGAACTCCGCTGGAGCGCATATTCTCCACAAAAAAACAGAATGGAGCAAACCTCTCGCCAACTGGAAATTATCTGTGGCTGTATTACTTCTCTGCTTTGCTCAGATAATTCCCGGATTACCGGGTATAGTCGGTCCCAGAGTAAAATATCGATTATAATGCTTTCTTTTAGACGCACGTGCGCACAGCTACGAAGACACCTCCCGCCTCCTCATCGCACCTCAATACGCATTCAAGCGAACAAAAGGCGAAAAGACGAGATCTTGGGGGAGGGGGGACAATAATGATAATAACGACTACGTTTCAGTTTCAGTTTGAGTTCTTTTTTTGTTCTCTCCTGTAGGGCGTTTAATTAAATGAAGTCGTTTGCATTAATGCTTGTCATTACGCATTTGCCTACTGGAGTCTCCTCTAGGAGTCCTGAGTGGAAGTTATGGCAGATATGCCAGAGGCACATAGGAGAAGTGAGTGCGTGTACAAAATTCATTACCTAAATGGATAGCAGGTGCCTTTTGCTGCTATCGCCATCCTGCTGCTCTTGTTGCGAGTAATTTTCGTATTTTCAACACTACCCCCTTTATGAATTTACCGTGTGAATAAGGGAGTAATGAACCTTCTACTTTCTATGGGACAGGGACCGAAGAAGGGACCCAAATTTATTTCACGCTCTGGCTTCACAGCAAGGAAAAAGCAGTTTTCGTGTGGGATTCTGACAGGGATACTGGATGCGGCTAAATTGAGGGACGAATGTCAATTAAAGCCGCATGGACGTGGCCCTTGTGCGGGGCCTTTGTGGCAATTTAGTATGGGGGCCAGAGCTTGCTGCACATTGCGGCTCCCTGGTGACAGAGCCAGCAGCCAGAGCGGATGCAGGTGCCAGGCGGTGCCATACGAGTAGCTGTTGCCTCTATTCTTCGAAAATCAGCAAGCTTGTGTTCTATGCTGTGGTTTGGACTTACAACAATTGTCTTGTCTAAGTTTATGAATGAATGAGTCCCCCTTCGACTTCCAAATTGGCTCAAATATTAGTTCTGTTCTGTGTGATGCTTGGACAGGCATTGTCTCTATTTCCATCGAATCATCTCTCATCTGAAAGCTGTGACTATGACATTCAAGCCACTGACAGCGGGAGTATGAAGATGAATATTGAAATGATGTTCATGGTGATGGTGGAGCAGGTGCTCATCGTGTCGCGTATCCAATCAATGTTGCTCTGAACATCCGTATAGACGGAGGGAATCGAGGATCCACAGCCCATAGGATAGGTGACGATGCCAACCATTATATTGTCTTTGATCAACGGCCCTCCAAGATCACCGGAGCATGGACTGGAGTCGTTTCCGTCATTTTTGCTACACATCATGCCGTATTTGAAGCTCTTTAATTTCTCCTCGCAGTACGCTTGGTCTTTTAGAAGCACATCGATCTGTAGGATATTCGAGGCCAAGGGACCTCCCTGCAAAAGTTTGTAATATTTCCAATCTGAAATTTAAGTTTCCTTCCGTCGATCTCATACCTTGTATATTCTGCCCCAGCCCAAAACTATGTAATTCGAGCCAAACTTCGGGGGGTCAGAGGGCAGAGCGAGAAACCCAATGCGGGGATTCCCAGTGGGCATAGAATACTTCAGCCGCACCATCGCCATGTTGTCCGTGTTCAACATGGTAAAGTTCATTGGCACGTACAGTGCCTCCACCGGGGTGCAGACCGTCTTGCCCGTGACGAACTTTAGCCGGTTCGGTGATCCCGCCGCCACCAGCAGCACCCGCGTCCTAAACATGGTCTTCGATTCGCTAAACAAAGGCAAAAGTCATCAAAAGATATCGCAAAGGCAGTGTCCACCTACTCCATGACGCAGTGAGCGGAGGTCAGCACCCAGTCCGGCGTCAATAGGCCTCCGCCACAGATGTGGTTATCGCCAAAGTATTTCTCGGGTGTCCGGGATCGAATGGAGACCACGTATTTGGCCAGGGTCAGGGTGTCGTTGTTAAAGTCGGGCAAGGAAAGGCGCTTCACTCGGCTCTTACTCTCGCCCCATACGGATTCCACCAGCCACATGAGTAATATAATCTTTAATACTCTGAAATTTGTATATTTCATGGCTATAAAAATATGTAAGTACTGAAATACGTTTGACAGTTCGATCGAGGGATGGTGGTGGCATCTGCTGTTGTATCCTTAGGATCCTTGCAACTGTTCCTCCTTCCGGCTGCCTGGCCGCTCTTCAAGTTTTAGTTTCTTTCCTTTGTTCTTAATGCCCGACTTACTTTTTGTGTCGTTTAAGTTTCCACCATTTCCACTCCTCCCCCCAACCCCCACGTTCTACCTCCTTTGACACCCCTTTCCCACGACTCCCAGCATTTGGCCGCGTGTTTGTGTAAGGCTCAAAGTATGTTTTAGGCAAAAGTTTGTTTGGCAAACTTTTGTCAAAGTATTTTCAGCTCTCGAATATTTTCATTTGCTGTGGCAGCTTCACCAAATAATTGAGGTTTAGTTTCTCTCTCTCCCGCTCTCTCTGTCCATCTCCCTGCCTCTGTCGTTTATCTGTTTGGTTTTTTCCTTTTTCGGACACTTGGGTACGGCAGAAGGAGGCACAGGCTGCGATGATTTGCGGCAAGCAAATTTATTGACAATTCATGGTCAGCCTTATCCCTTCTCGTCCTTTCTCTCTCTCTCTTTCCCTTGGATTGTGATTGCGATTGTGGTGCGGCTGTTCAAGCGTTTTGTTGAACTTTTGCGAAAGTTTGTCGCAAGTTTCCGTTTCCGGGTGGCAGGCCATGACAAAGTGCCGCACATTAAGCTGTAGATTTTTCATTTTTCTTCGCCCTATCGCTTACGCTTCTGCCATTTTTTTTTGTCGCTTTCGCCCTTGCTGTCTCGATGCCTGTTTTTCTTATCACTGGGGCCGCAGCTAAAGACAAACGCAAAGAGCGCAAAAGTTTAAATTAATGACACTCAACTATTAGCAAAATTAAAAAGTCCCAAGATGATGTCTGCAAACTTGGGAATGCGGTCAGGGGCGACAGAGATGGATCCCTGCCTCCCTCTCTCTCTCTCTCTCTCTCTCTAACTCATATTTCTTTTCTCTTCGCTAAGAATCAGAGCAATTTTAGTTGACAGCGCCTCAAAGTAGGCAACAGGCTTGTAAATTGCCTATGACGCAGTATCTGAGAGATACTCTGAATAGAGAGAGAGAGAGAGAGAGAGAGGGGGCGAGGTAGCAGCTGCTGCAAGGACAAACTTTCACCAATTTTCGTCCAACATTGAAATGCACTCTGAGAAAGCAGGAAACAGCCCTAAACTTATACAAAATGGCTGCCAGGCGAGCTGCAGCGACAACGCAAAGTTGCAACCACATTTGTTAGGGCTATGCAGAGAGACACACAGACAGAGAATGAGAGTGGAAGGAAGAGGCATTTATTAATAAAACATTGGGGATAAACCACATTTATATCTTCCTGCCTTCCTGCACTGCCCGTCTGCCGCCTCGAGTGGCGTTGGCTCCTGTGAAATTAGTTAATAAATAAGGCGGTCAAGTTGATTTGTGTGTTGCCATTAAGCGAAAATTAATTAGAAATTATAGCCAGTGTCTGCGCGGAGAGTGGTGTCTGGAAGTGGGGCAGGAAAGCAAGTGGCAGGCAGGGAAGGTGGAAGTGGAAAGTGGAAATTCATGTCAGAGGCGGAGTGACACAGGTGCGGCAAAGTAATTGACAATTTTTTGCGTTTCACTCGCGAATCGCGACAAAACAGGTCCTGAGCACTCTGCCTCCGGATGGACGGAAGAACACTGGCGACTCATCTACTCCGCACCGCTGTTTGGCGGCGTAATTGAATTACGGCAGCTAGATGCTGTGCAGCAGCGGCACGGCCAATAATTAAAAGCGGTCCGCCAATAATCAATTGCTCCAGCACCATCACCCTCAGCGGCACCACTCGACACTCGGCACTCCAGCTGAGTGTGGAGGCATAGTCTCGGGAAAAGAGCAACAGGCAGTGGGATAGAAAGAGGCTGGAGACAGGAGGCAGGAGACCGGCATCAGGAGGGAACATCGAAGTTCTCGTAATAGAAATAAATTGGCGCCACACGCAATTCGATGGCGACATCGAGGCAGACACAGGAACACAGCGACATGGACATGGACATGGAAGAGCAACAACATTGGACATTGTCTTGCTGTTCGACAGTCAAGTGGGCACTTGAGCCCGTCCGTCCTTCTTTATTATGGGGAAGAGCAAGAGAGAGAGAGAGGCCCAGCCCTTGCGTGTGGCAGGCAACTCATGAATTGCCAAGTGGAAAACGAAGCCAGTTGCTAGGCAGGCAGGCAGCTGGTTAAAAGTAATGGAGCTACGGCGTTGTTGCATGCCCCGTTTGGGCGCACCTAATTAAATCTAACTTTATTAGCGCTTTCAGAAGCCAAAAGACTCGACACTCATTCAGCGCCTGACAGGTGGCTCATTCCCCCACACACCACTCCACATACGAGTATATATGCACATAATAGACATCCTTTGCATGGTATTTAATTGGCACACATACACCCCCTAAGATCCTGCTACCAAGTGTTGATTAAATCTAGATCCTAGAAATAATTATTAAGGATATATATAGTAAATATGTGTTTGTGGAATGTTGTTGAATATTTGAACCTAAAGTTGAGTTGTTAACAAAGACAAACACTTTCAATGCCACCACCAATCCACCACCCACTCACTGTTTATGTGATTTGTGTTCTACCGTTTGTTTGTGTGTGCGTGTGCCTAAGCCTGCCCCCAAAAGCTCCTTCTCTTTAGAGGAATTACATTAGAAGAAAAACAAAACAAAATGTTATTAATGGAGAAAATGCAATTAATTTTACTCTCTGCTCTGCTCACATTTCTCCTACTCTCTCCACCATCTCTCCCTCTCTCTCTATGTATCTTTCTCTGCATTGAAATAAATACATAAATCATTGTGAAAACCAATTGCAAATTAATCAAAAACTGTGCAACAATGAACCCACAATCAACGTCCCATCGAATGGGCCGGACAACGTGCAGCTGATTCGGCGACGTCCAAGTCCAAGGCAAGGGCTACGCCCAGCCTGAGGCGCGACGCTGCCATCGATACCGATGCCGAAGGGACAAATGTGGCAGATGACTATGACAATGACAATGGCCTCCACATCGATGTCAATAGGGATGCTGATGATGATGAACGATGGCCCAATGCCCGGCCCCAGGCTCCCCCTAGCACTAGCATTCGCAGTCGCACTCATGCACCCGCTGATACGGCCAATGACAGGCCGCAGACCAGAACAACAATAGCAATTCGTCAGAACAGCAACATCTGCAGCAACACCAACAGAACTACAACTGCAACTGCAACTGCAACAGCCACTTCTTATAGATTAGCGCCGAGAGCCAGCTTCCCGGAAATCATGCAGCCCCGTCTATCCCTCAACGGGTTGCTGAACCCCTCGCTGATGCCCTCGCCCCGACCGCTGTACCGGGACCACAGCTCGAGGTCCATCAATCCGCTGACCGCCTACGAGCAGCAGATGGCCGAGCTTGATGGAAGTTTCTATGCCAGCAATGCCGGCTATCTGGGCGCCGGGATGGGTGGCAGTGCTGGCGGTGCCACAACTTGCACGAATCTGACGGTGGGCGGCGGCTCGAGTGGTGCGCCCAGTGGGGGTCTGTCACACGGTGGTGGTACCATTGGTGGTGGTAGTGCCGCCATACACACAACCGAACTCTCAATTACGCCCACAATGGCCGCCGATGAGCAGTTCATCGATCTGGGGAGCCTGCGTCGCTTCTCGATCGATCGCCAGAGCTTTCTCGGTAAGGCTCTCCCCCACCCTCTCTCTATCTTTCTCTCTCTCTCTCTCTTGTAGACCCCTCTCGCTGTTTGTGTGTCAGAACTCTCCGACCTTTATGCTGCCCATTCTGTTGATGTTATCCTGTTCGTGACTAATCGAAGCTACTCCTTTTCTTCCCCCGCCGTAGATCTAGGACCAAAGTTTGGCATGTCCCAGCCGAAATTCGGCCAGAGCGTCTCGCAACAAGGTTTCTTCACGTCGCACGACAGCCTGGCCACACCATGCGCCTCCCGAGCCTCCAACTCTCAAATGGCCACCGTAAGCACTGCCTCCGAAATGGATCTACTGCACAACAAGCAACGCAACAAGTCGCGTGGCCGACTGAAAACAACAGCCAGCGGCGACCAGCCGCTCCTGGGGGGCACGGGCACCTGGAACCGGTCAATGGGCCGCGGCTCACAGGATAACACACTGGCCGGCGGTGGAGCCACCAGCATACCCATGGGAGGGCACACTCAATACGGTGGCAACTACTGCAACGGCACAGATCGGTTAGTAGCCCAAATATGATTTGCAAAGGCAAACAAAATATATTCAACTATTGAATTCCCATTCCCTCATGGTATGCCGTGTTAAATCCCAAACATTATCTTCTGTATCCCGCAGCTACCCGCGTTCACGATCACAGCACCAGCAGCCACACCATAATGCTGCCCCAGCCCCGCACCGCTATCAGCTGCAGCATTCGATATCCGCGGCGACGCACCAGCGACACTCACACGGAACGTCCTCACAGGGAGGCGATGGCTCGGGGCACCACGGTGGCCAATCCCATCAAGCACACCATGGAGGCGGCGGCTGTGGAGCCGGGTCACAAGGAGGACAACCACACCATAAGAAGCCGCATCGCACCGCCTCGCAGCGAATTAGAGCGGCCACGGCGGCCCGTAAGCTTCACTTTGTGTTCGATCCGGCGGGGCGGCTGTGCTACTACTGGTCCATGGTGGTGTCCATGGCCTTTCTGTACAACTTCTGGGTGATAATCTACCGCTTCGCCTTCCAGGAGATCAATCGTCGCACGATTGCGATCTGGTTCTGTCTTGACTACTTGTCGGACTTCCTCTATCTGATTGACATCTTTTTTCACTTCCGCACCGGTTATCTGGAAGACGGGGTGCTCCAGACAGATGCCCTGAAGCTGCGGACCCACTACATGAACTCGACGATCTTCTACATCGACTGCCTGTGCCTGTTGCCGCTGGACTTTCTCTATCTGTCCATCGGCTTCAACTCGATTCTGCGCAGCTTCCGGCTGGTCAAGATCTACCGCTTCTGGGCCTTCATGGACCGCACCGAGCGGCACACGAACTACCCGAACCTCTTCCGCTCGACGGCCCTCATCCACTATCTGCTTGTGATATTCCACTGGAACGGCTGTCTCTACCACATCATCCACAAGAACAACGGCTTCGGGTCCCGCAACTGGGTCTACCACGACTCCGAGTCGGCGGACGTAGTGAAGCAGTATCTGCAGAGCTACTACTGGTGCACTCTGGCCCTCACAACCATCGGAGACCTGCCCAAGCCGCGCTCCAAGGGCGAGTATGTGTTTGTGATATTGCAATTGCTATTTGGCCTGATGCTCTTCGCCACGGTCCTCGGCCATGTGGCCAACATTGTGACGTCTGTGAGTGCAGCACGCAAGGAGTTTCAAGGTGAGTGTTGGCATCGTTCTATAAGCTAAATGGGAATTCCATTGATGCTATATTTTCACAAAGGGCTTGACCTGAATTCCCCAGACTATTACAGCAAGCTAATCTTTTAGGACAAAACGGTTGGGGAGTGGAGGAGATGTTAGATACCTGAAAGTATTATCTCTCGGTATGTCACACAGAAAACAATTTCATAAATTCCAATCCATGACAACATGGTCTCGACTTGTTGCCTAGGAGGGGTCTGGAATGTTCACAAAACGGGAGTAATGGCATGTAATATGAATTTGGATTCGGAGAAAGGAAAGAACCCTTCAGCAACAATGGGCGGTGAAAAAAGTGCCATCTTGGCACAAACTGTATGCAAAATATGGATATCTGTTGGCACTGCTGCTGTCATGGCAATGTAATGTCCATTGTAGCATAGGAGTAGGAGCACTGTGGAGCTTAAGGAGTCCAGCGCTGAGGAATGGAATGGAGTGGAGTGGTGTGAAGTGGAGTGGGGAGGCCTGGCGTGGCATGGAGAACTCGAGGCCTCTCTTGTAGGCGCAGTTGGGCGTGCGGCCATTAGCTAAATGAACTCGTTTACTCGGCAGGGGCCATAAATAACTGGACGAAATGCAAGAGCAATCCAAGTCAGCTAAGTGGAAAATGCCAAGAGAAAGGCAAAGAGAGGGCGAGACAGAGAGAGGGAGAGAATAGACGAGCGAGCAAGAGGCAGAGCCAAGGAGAGCACTAGTGATACTGGACCAAAAACGAGGAAGTGGGAGGAGAAGGAGCAGCGGGAGGAGCCAGCTTGCTTGGTTTTCCTGCTTTCATTAAGAGCAACGTCAGCTGGAAAATATTAAAGCCACTCACGGCGACAATGAGACACACAAAAAGGATGCTAGATGAGAGCGGGCGAGGGGGGAGGGGCGGGATTGGGGCGGGATTGGGGCAAACAAAGCACAATTGATGCCAGTGGGCGTGGCACCTTGATTTCATACGCCCACCTAAGAGCATGTCTCTCTGTTGCTATTGTTGCTTTTGTTGATGTTGGCCATCCTTTCCGACTGCTGGGCCCCCATCTTAGCCTTGCCTGGAGCCACCTCACTTCTGCTGCTGCCGCCAACTGGCCTCTCACTTGTTTATACAACACTTTGCATGTGTGCGTGTGTGTTTCTGTGTGTGTGTGTGTGTCCACAAGCGGACAAGCGTTGGAGAGAGAGAGCCATGTCCATGACAAAGTCAGCAAGCAAAGCTCTGGCGGCTTAATGGTCGAAACGTGCTGCAGAATTAATTTCTGGCTTTATGCTCTCTCCCCTTTCTCCCCGTTTCCGTTCACTTCTGCTTCACTTCACACTTCGCTTTTCCGGTTTTTTCTTCTCTTCTGGTTTTGCCTGCATATTTGTGTGGGTCAAATTTTCAATTTTTATTGCGACCCACTCGAATCACATATTGGGCCAATCATAAAGTAGATGAAATTGTTCAAAATTTATGCGGCCATCGGGTCATAATCGGGTTCTCTGATGGCTGTCGTGATATACTCGCCAGTGGACACCACAGACAGAATGTGCATAATATTGTCCTGCATTTCCCGGACCACAAAGTAGAAGATTGACCACACTGAAGGAGGAATCCTTGCAGGAAAACGCTTGCTATCACTGACAGCTTTTTCATAGACTTTCCTGAGTAGCTCCTCAAGATGGTGGTCGGTGGTCGCTGGGCGCAAGAAACACAATGTATTCAGGAGAAATTTGTGGAATAAAAAGCATGGACACATAATCCGACAATCAACTCCACTCAACTGAACTGAACTCGACGCAAACTCAGGACTCAGGACTCGATTGCTAATAAAACACTTTGGAGGAGCTGAGGCAGCAATTGTTGTTGCGGTCGCAAACTTTGCCGGAAACTTAATGCATCATGTGGCAGCAGACGAGGATGAGAATGATGATGGGAGGAAGCATGCAACGTTTTGGAGAACCATCCATCAATTTGTCAATTCAGCGTTTGCGTTGAGTGGCCGGGCGGACGATGAGGACGATGGCGATGGGCAATAGTTTTGGAGTGGCTGCCATAAAAAGAAATCAACGAGAATACTATGTATATATTGAATATGCACTGTCAATGCAATCTGCCAGAAGAGGTATGGCCAAAACGAACTGTAGATCAGGTAAACCCCAATAAAATCTACAGACTTGTCAACGGTTTAACAAGGCTTGAAAGTGGGTTTGGGCATCACATGTTTGATTTATTCCTGTGCGCCTTTGAGCCGCTCTGATGGACCTCGAAATGTTTTTGTCGCCCTCCCTCCCTACATGACGAATGATTAATGAGTTAAATTTCACTTTGGTGGCGGATCTTAAGTTTAAACCTTGGCTAAGCCCGAGACACTCACGCTCCCCCATCCTAATTTCCTTTCAAGCCTTCACGCTAGTCATGGCTTAGACGGGGGAATGACTAGGTCCCAGGGTCTTCTGCTACATTAGCCCATGACACCAATCCAACCATCCAGGACTCCCGCCCCCAGCCCCATGCCTGCAACAACTTCAAGGAGCACTAAGCTTCCGCTCTGCTTCTCTCTTCTCTCTTCCCTTTCCTGTTTCCTGCTAATGCTACTACTGCTGTGGAAATGGCGGAAGGTGAGGGGAGTGGCATGAAAATTGATTTTCAAATAGTTGGTCTGCCTTTTTTAAATTTGATTGACGTTATTACATTACATAACATCACACAAGCAGAGCAACAGCAAGGGCCCCCATACTCACGCCCGCACCCACACCAAGAGAACCGAGAGAGAAAGGGGGAGAGAGAGAACAGGCAAGAGAGGCTGGAGCATCTGGCTTAAGTTATTCATCCATTTAGCTTCGCTTAGGAGGAGGGTATGCCAGGGGGCAGTGGAAAATAAGCAGGAGCAAGGGAGATGAAAAGGAAGTCGGAGATTAGGAGAAGAGGAAGGAGAGGCAACAACAAGTGGAAAACTGTCATTATATTTGAGTTATTGATGGTTCTTTTTTATACAAAATCATTTTGCAACAATGTTGCTCTTGCCACACACACATGCACGTTCGCTGAGTGGCACCTTCTTTGCCTGTCAGCTTCCCCTCCCCCTTACACATATACGCACACTGTTACATTCACGCTTAGTTTAACGCATGGCTCTGTGGCTTGTTAATGCCGACAAGCGCCCAAGTTTGCCGTTCGCCAAATGCTGGCGATAATCGACAAGCATACACACCGGCATGTAAAGCGACACACAAACACTAGCGTACTAATGTAACAGGACACACATCGTCATAGAAGGACCTCGCCATTCAGGACGTTCGGGGCACTGCCGGGTAAAGTTGTGTATGGCTTTTTCACCATGTTTTGGCAACAATCCAAACGTAGCGACGTTTCAAAAACTGGCATTTAAAATTATGTAAATTCATCCTCTCCATCCTACTGCCATCCCCCCTGTCTCCCACTGTCCCTCGTTCCTTTTTCCATTATGTAATTGTTATTGTAAATAGTTTCAATGGAAATTTCCCCCCGTCAGCAGAGCTGTCATCGGATTCTGATGGATATGTGCGGACACTTTTCCACATACTTATGATTCTTGCAGCTTTCATATTTTTCACCCATTTGCATGCAATTATTTATTCTTGCTGTTGACTTTGCTTAAATTTAAATACTTATTGCCTTTGTATAGCCTCTTTTGGCAGAGTTTCTCTGCCCAAAAAGGTACATTTCCGACCCCTTGGCTAACCACACTTATACAAATATAGAAAGATAGAGAAGGATAGATCGAAAGGAATATATTCTACTGAATGCATGGAGTAGCAAGTTCCTTCCGCTTGGAATATCTTTTCCTGTTCCTCGCCAAGATACCCCCATCTTATAGTCTTACACTATTCCGACTTATTTATAGAGCCAACTGGTCAGCGCTCTGCAAATGCACGCTCAGTCTTCATTTGCAATTAACGTCCAGATGGCTTCGCCTGGTGCCGTGGCCGGGGGTTGGCTTTTGACCTCGCAATTAAAACAATTTACGCGCTCAATTTAAGCCACACACACAAGAAGACGCAAGCGCTGGCGGAGATGAAGATGCAGTGGGGACCCTGCACCCTGGTGCAGTCGGATGCTGCAAATTTGTAGTGCCTTTGCCAGCTATTTTTGACTTGCTAAACGTGCAACGTGCAACGTGCAAGTAATGTAACGGCCAAAGTGTTGCTGTTTGCTGTGGCCCTCGTCCTTGTTGTGGCAGCTGCCCCACGATACTCTCTGGCTGGCTGGGGCGAGGTTGCCCTAAAAATAGAAGCGAGGCAAATGAACTGAGTCAAGAACGCGGGCAAAAATTTAGCATTGGCCGCGGACCCGGGGATATCATACACGCGCGCGGTGGTGCTATTGAAAGGAGTACGGATGCACTGCTGAGCTGAAGAGGATTGGTTTTGCAGAGCAGTGCATGAGTTCTTCCAGGGCATCCATTTTTTGGCATTCGACATCATTTATTGCGCTGATGGATATTGCTTTCGTATTGGTTCACTAGAGCTCTTCCAGGGTGTCTCATTGTTCGACTTAGTACGGCTTATACCTCTTTCTTTGGTGCTGTTGCCTTTTACCTCTTTCTTCTTTCATTTTGGCAAACTCAAAGTGGAGCACGCAGACACAGTGGAAGGAGTGGCAGTGGCAGTGGCTGTGGCAGCAGCAGCAGCAGCAGCAGTTGCCAAGGAGCCTCAGTACGGGGAAAGCGACGTCCATTATCCACTTTAAGTTGCCCGCCCTTGCTGCGTGCAAGTGTGTATGCCTGTGTGGCCCACTCTTTCTGTGTGTGTTTGTGTGTGTGTTTTCAGCTTGGTTTGTGTTTGTTGTTCGTTTCGCTGTTTGCTTTTGCTTGGCCCAGCAATGTCCAACGGAGAGGCTGTGTGTCTCTGTGTTGGTGTTTGTTTGCTTGTGGCTATGCCCCCTGCTGTAACCGTGTATCTACACACCGTGTGTGTGTGAGTGTGCTTGTATGTGTGCTTGCGGATTCCAATCAATATCGTAGACGCACTCCCCACTGGTGGCCGCCGCTGGTGGCCGCCGCCGCCGCTGTTGCCCATTAAGCTGCATGTACACCAACTTGCTGTCGTATTTTTAGAACACGCCGCCAGTGGCTATTCTTGTTCTTGTTGGTGCTGTGCCGCGGCATATAGCCGCTCTTTAAGGGCCTGAGCTTTCCATTATCCTTGAATAGCGAATTTCCCAAGGATTTGTGCTGAAACTGCCACTGCTTTTCGTTCCGCTGCCCCCTGCCCCCTGTCCCGGCCCCTGCCACTGCTATTTGTTGATGATGCAACTGGCATGCGCATTGTTATTGCCGACTGGCGAGGTGGTGCATGGAGGGCTGCCTGCATTTATTTTTAGTTGCCGCCCGAATAAATCCATCCAGCACTTCGGTGCCATTGTTTACGCGCCTCTTCAGGCGGCGTCAGGACTCAAGAGGAGGTGAGAAAAACACCCACAAAATCGGCAGAAACGGCGAAATCAGCAGCTGCTGCGCTAAATGCATAATTAAGCAGGCCAGAAACCAGAAGTGGAATGCCACTTGAAGAATGCCTTTGGCAGCAGCAGCAGTGTGGATACCACAGAGAGTGGGTCAAATGGAAAGACAGTTGGGTGAGGGGAATCAAGAAGCGGGTTCGCCGTACACTCGGGCGATAATCGCCGTTTCGCCTTTCATTGCTGTCGTCGTCCCCTGGCGTGGCCTTTGTTCTCACCGGGAAGACAACTTCCTGCTTTGCCATAACACATCACCCATGGATCTTAAGTGGTTTCTAGTTAGTTTGCAATTTTCACATGTCTTCCACTCCCACTCGCACTGCAAGAGCCACTGCCACCGCCACCGCCACCGCCACCGCCTCCTATCCCCGCACCTAGGTCCCATTCAGAACTCTGGGTTTTTCCTCCATTTTCCGCTGCATGCTGCATGCTGCATGTGCGGGTGCGCTTTATGAAAAGGCTGGCAGGAAGAGAAAGTTTTTGTTACGCATATTTACTGTTTTTATGCGATCCGCTTTCTCTCCCAGCAGAAACTTGCTGCAGTTTGTTGTCAGACAAAGGCATGAACTTTTGCACCCAGATTTCTTTTTCTTTCTTGTGCCACCGAGCCACCGACAACCACCCACAATTGTTACCGGGTCTGAGTTTTTGCCAAACAGTTGATCCTTTGGTGGCAATTGTGCCGGTGTCCCAGGACAAACGTCGAGTCAAACAGTTAATGTAATTATTGGAAACTATTCATTCAAGTTTCCCTAGTGACTCCTCCTGTTGAAGGTGACTCAGTCACTGGCACCGATGCCACCGCTGCCACCGCTGCCACCGCTTCCAATCCCCGCTAACAGAACTCCCCGTGCCACAAGAATTGCAACAGAAGCAGATCAAAGTTCGCTGGGGGCAACTGCGGGCGAAGCAGAGCATAAAATGAAAAATAAATAAGAAATAAGCAAAATGTGAAGCCAAATGCAGTTTGCCACTATATGTATCTCCTAGCCAGCCCCACCCCTACGGCCTGGCAGCATCCTCTCTTGGCCCCAAACGCAGCCAAGTGACTTGAGGGCAAAAAATGGCAAATTAAATTTTGCTCGGAAAATGCAACGAAATGGAAAGAGGAGCGGGAAAAAGCAGAAACGAAGCTGAAAGGAACGGGATAAGCTCTGTTCAGCCACAGAGCAGGGGAAGGTATTAAAGCTTGAGTAATTTCTAAAAACACCGAAACGGAAGATATATCCATGAAAAGAGACATAGCAGGGAATACATACAGGCTGAAAAACGCAAGGCAGACAGAAGATGGAGAGGTATAGACAGAGAAGGAGAGAGTCTATCGAAGGCAAACCGCAAATACTGTACCAACCTCAGAAATATCCCACACCCAAGGACCCGGAAAAAACAAGAGCCACATGTAACCACACAGAGTTTTCGATTCACTTGCTTGTTTTTCCCGTCTGCCATGGAATATGCAATTAATATTTAGATTGATTTTCAATTGTAACAAAAATAAGACCTGCAAAATCCAGCTTCACCGAGAACGTGCTCTGTGGCATCGGGGATGGAATGGGAGTGCCACAAGAGGCGGCAACATGAGCGCAGCAGTTGGATGCTGCATTCAAGCTGTTCCGCAATAAAAAATTGCTGTAATTTTGCATGGCTCTCGGTATCAATGCAAAGGGGAGCAAACAGAAAGTAAGGGATGGGCGGATGGATGGCCGGTACGTGTGTTGGTGCCATTTCGAGCGTTATTCATATCGTGTGTGTGTGTAATGGCTACCAGGAGGCCGACACTGCCATTCAATAATCTTTCACTTTGCCAATAGATGGCTCGAAAGAAACTATTTTTATCATGAGGATAATGTTGAATGTTGAATACCCTGGGAAACAAGTTTAAATGTGTATGGGCAGGTCTCAGTCTGGAACTTTAAGATGGGAACAGCTTCGAACTCCCAGAAGCATTCATGAAAAATGCTCTCTTGCTTCTTCGGTCCTAATTTCGTTTGAGAAGCGGAGGAAATTTGAGTTGGACAACAAAAGACATTTTACAATTGAGGAAATGACAAATGACCAACAGGGATTGGATGTGCCTGGACGGGATGGAGAGGGGGAATTGATTGCATTATAGATGATGTCGTTGTTGGCCAGGACCCACCCCCGGCCCCCAGCCCCACCCTGTAGGAGACATCAGCCTGGTTACTGGGTATTTATTTGTATTCAATCTGTTTGCTTGTTTGTCAGTTGGTTTTCAAATGTTTGCACGAGCAAACACAAAAGACGCAGCACTCACTCGCTTCTACCTGCCAATTTCCCCCCCACCCGCTTTCCCCACAAAAACGCAGTCCCATCTCCCAGTTTCCAGTGCCACTCCCCTTTGGCAACCGCCGACAAATTGTGTCAATATTTGTTGGCACTGACGAGCCAAGAGATTTAATTTCCTCTTATCGACTCCGATGACTAGCAGCTGGGGCGGACGCCACATGTGATGGGGGGAATAAGAAACAAAAGCCAGTTTTCTCTAATCAATATTGCTCGAACAGAATGGGTGCTCTTTAAGTTGGCTCGTTCACATGGAATGCCGCAATTCCTTAGATAGTACGAGTACGAGCATAACCAATCAATCCCTCCGCACGTGCCGCTTCCGCACTTTGAGGCGATCAGAGGTCCGTTTTCTGTTCGGTCAGTAGAGGACGACCTCAACTGGCAGGACGAAGGCTCCTCGCCGGGGCGTATGAGTAATCAATATTAAGGATGCGCCCGGTTGGCCAGGAAGAGCTTATATTCAGCGATGTCTGCCGCACAGCTAAAAGACTTATATCACAAATTTATGCAGACCATCTTGATTGACCGATTAGAGAGCAAATTCCCATCTACCATGGGCCAGATCGAAGCAATTTATGCATAATAGACCAGCATTTAGTTGGGTAAAGCTCCGGCGCTCCACTTCCCATAGTGCGAGTTGAGCGGCTGCCTAATTTCCACACTCTTTGTATGCCAGTCGCGTATCAATTTCCAGGCAAAATTCTCTGCAAATACAAAATAAAATATACTACAAATATTCGGGGGTTTCTTCCTGTCTCCCTGTTCTGTCGCTCCTTAGCCAAGCTGGACGGCGTCAAGACGTACATGCGGATGCGACGTGTCCCGAATCATCTGCAGGTGAAGGTCATCAAATGGTTCGATTACCTGTGGCTCACGCAAAAGTGCTCGGACGAGGAGCGCGCCGTGTCCTGTCTTCCTGATAAATTAAAGGCAAGTAAAGGGTCGCCCTATACAACACGATTTATCCATTACATTACATTACCCAAATGTATTATTCTGTATCTTTCAGGCTGAAATAGCAATTAACGTCCATTTAGATACACTTAAGCGGGTTGAGATTTTTCAAAATACCGAAGCTGGTTTCCTCTGCGAGTTGGTGTTGCGCCTGAGGCCAGTGCTCTTCTCGCCCGGCGACTACATCTGCAGAAAGGGTACAGGCATAGTCTCCACATACATTCCTTTATTCTTATACCTTAGAGCAATTTCCATTCGCAGGCGAGGTGGGCAAGGAGATGTACATTGTGAATCGTGGACGATTGCAGGTTGTGGCCGACAATGGAAAGACGGTGATGGCCTCACTGAAGGCTGGTTCCTATTTTGGCGAGATTAGTATACTCAATATGGGCACAGCAGGTAAAGAACTTGGTAAATATCCCGTTTTAGTGCGACAGGCGGAACAATAACGATAACGTAACTACAACAACCAACCAAACCAACCCAACCAACCTTTCAATCTCAGAATTAACATATGTTATGTACATATTTCAAAATATGTACCCGTATTCTCTCGTAACAAAAACACACATAGACACACTCTCTCTCTCTTTGAGAAATGAGAATCCAAATGTATACCAGATACTATATAGCATATATTCATGTAAATGTGTGTGGAATGTATAATAATAACTAAGTGTAGCCCTCCCAGAGATACATACATATATATTTTATATTGGCCTTCGTCCTTCCTGTCTCCCTTAGCTCCTGTAATGATATAGATTGAGTACTTCAGACCAATTTAATACCTTTTTTTCATAACAAATGCTTTTTAATTTGTTTTTATTTTTTTGGAAAATTGTTTGGATGTTTTTAATACGCAATTTATTGTTTTGGGCTTAAGCCGAAAAGTATGAAACGAGTTTTTTATTACGCTCCAGCCCTCAATGTCTGGCTCACACATACACACACGCGCAGAGGCACACACATGCTCTCATATTGTTGCAAAATTAATGAATGTCAAATGCATTTATTGCACCTGCATGCTCTCTCACGTGAATATATTTTTATTGACGCTGCACACACACACATGAGTAAAAAAAAAATGGCCGCAACAATTGTGGTTGTGATGCACAAAAACAATTTGCTGAACTTAATGCCGCTTTAATTTCATGTAATAGTCAGAGCCAGCTGGCAGTCAAGTGTTAACACAAATGGCTCCAGGGAAACGCAGCACCTGCTCTCTCTCTCTCTCTCTCTCGTCCATACATCATCACAATTAACAGCAATAGTTGTACGTGCCTGCGTGTGCGTCTGTGTGGTGTGTGTTTGTGTGTGCGTTGAAGAGTGGCAGATATCATTGCGTTGCATACTCGAAAGCGTCACCGAAGCCGCTCCTTGCCAACTAATTGAGTTTCGGCTCACGAGTTGGCAACTTAATTCTCCGACAAAAAGTTCAACCTGCCGAAAAGTTTTCACACACCTGCAGCAATTAGAGACTACAAATCGAATTGTTGAAAAGATCTTTGTGTTTTTGCATGTTCAAAGCATTATTCGGGTTCAATCAAGGGCCACGTCGCAATTGCCCTGGAGAAATTTAAACTTTAATGTCATTTCGTACGGTAGTTAGTCTTTACATCTCTATCTATCTATCTATCTATGTATGTACGTACGTATGTCTCTATCTCTATCTCTCTCTATGTCTATCTACTACATATGTATATCTCTGTCTCTCTAATTGTCTCTGAGTCCATGTTGATGTTGTTGTATTGCTTTGCCTGGCCGTAATTTAAACGTTTCTCTACACTTACTTGTATTGAGATTTGTGTAATTCAAACTAAGTATACGACCCCTTGCCACCAGCAAATACTCACATTCGATTCTTCTTGTTGGGTTTCCAGATGCGGCATTTGAATTGCATGCCTTGGCATTTGGGGAGCTTGGACATAGGTATTTCTTCTGAACACACATCCATAGATTTTAATCAAAACGACCCCAAAGATAAAATATTGCCTGGTTTTGTCTCTCCCAAAATTCCACTTAAGAACACTTCTTCCCACTCCGCACTCCACATCCTCCGTGTGGCATGCAATTTGAATGTCTTTGTGCGAAGCCAGTCGTCAACAAGCAGAATCGAACGACAGACACAGACACACTGACAGCACTTCATGGAAATTCTCCGTTGCAAGACCATTAAACTTTTCTCTTTGCTTTGGTAAACATTTGCTTTACCAACTGTCCCGATCCAAAAAAATAAAAACAAAAAAAAAACAGGCAACAGACGCACAGCCAGCGTTCGTTCCGTGGGTTACAGCGACCTGTTCGTGCTGAGCAAGAAGGACATGTGGGACGTGCTGAAGGAGTATCCGGCGGCGCGTGTACGTCTGGAGTCGATAGCCGTCAAGCGCTTGGAGAAATACAAGAAGGCGCCACTAGAAAAAGGTAGGCACTTGTCTTATTTATCCTCGGCCTCTCCCGCTCCTGACACGCCTCTTTTATGCCCTTACCTCAACCATTCCTCATTCCCCACTCCCACACTCCCACACTCCGATACACCCGAACAAACACCACTCGAAATTCAAAGATACGAATACGATTGCCCCAGAATAACACGATTCGATTGTTTTGCCTTCCGTTCCATCTTTCCTTTCCTTTCATTTCATTTCTTTCCGTCTGGTGGATGATTTTGGTTATAAAACACAGTCAAATACTTTAATATAGTTGCCATGGGCCGGTGCCAGTCGACGCCGGGCTTGGTCGAGAGCTGTGGCCGCACCTCGCTCGAGGACATGTGGCTGCCCCCAGCGCCAACTCCACCAGCCCCACTGGTGCATCATCCCCTGACACACCAGCAACATCATCAGCAGCACCAACCGCTACATCAGCACCAGCCGCAGGCGACGCAGCAGTCCTCCCAACAGCACGGGTACAGGTGAGCCCCAAATAGATTACTCACCCACATACTCACTCAGTCGTTTTCTTCCCCAAAGTCCGCGAAGCTATGCGGACCGTCTGGTTCGGGCCACAGACTCGCCCAGATCGGTCAGCCCCAGTGCCCATGGCTCCGAGGAGCGTCCTCGCAGTCGGGCCGCCTCACATCACTCGATTCGACCCCAATCGCAGCCCAGTCACACAGGTATGGGGATGAAATCACGAAACGTAAGCCTGCTTAAGCTATCATCTATCTGTGCTCCTCCCTTAGGTCACATCTGCGACTCCAGCTCGCAACTAGAGTGCTATGGAGCGGGCGTGGGTGCGGTTGGGGGAGGCACAACCCCTCTACTGGGCTCCCACGAGGCACTCGAGGACGAGATCAAGCGGTTGAGAGAACGCCTGCATACGGTGGAGTCGGAGAACCAGGCTCTGAACACGAAACTCTCGCAACAGCAGTGGGACCTCGAGAATCGCCTGGCCGAGATCGAGATGCAGATCTGTGGAGTGTCGTCCACATCCAGCGTGGATCCGGAGAACGAGACGGAGGAGCTGGAGCGGAATCGAGAGAGTATCATATAACACGGGAGCGTGCTGCCCCATCAGCCGATCGGTATGGTGTACATATCATGTTCCTCATGACTCCATGATCATCATCGATCATCTGAAAATCGAAAACATCAATAGAAACAGCAATCTGGCGAAGAGCGAGCGGAGAAGAACGGCTGGACAAAAACAAAAAAAGACTTTGAGATCGCCATCACCTTCATAAAGCATCTCTCTCTCTTTCGTTCCCTCTCTATCTATCTGTTGCTTGTGTTTCCCCATCACTCTCTGTGTTTTGTATCTATGTTTGTGTGCATGCGGTTAAAACACCCCATTGCCAAATCGTTTGACTAACCAGAAAACCCCAAACCATGACCAGGAGCAGCAGCAGCTATACAGCAGCACCAGAAACCAGCAGTCGACCAGGAGGCCGTGACGCTAGAACAGTCGGAGCGGATTGAAGTTGGGACACAGACCTATGAGAAATGCAGCTCTTTATAGGATACGTTGAAAGCAAGAGAGATAGAGGGGGCGGAATACATCACCCAAGATGTTCAATTAAAATCTTTTATGATGAAGCGACTCACAACACCAAAAAAAATAATGGCAATGCCCCAGAAAATTGTTCAGCCGCCACCACCGCCGCTACAGAAACACACCCAACACCACTGGACTATGCCGAGTGTACATATATGAATGGGAGTTACCACAATAGAGATCAAAATATCCCCCAACCTAGGCTAAGATATCCGAGTCCCCGAGAGAGAGCGGGGGATCGTAAGTCGATGAATGTATTGTAATTAAGGATATCGGAAAAGCTTTACTAGATACTCCGAAAAGAACTTTTCCCAGCCCTTAACTCGTTACACAAAACTTACACTTTTTCCATACTAAGAACCAGAAATATACTCGTATTGATATTTATACAATATAGACATCATTAGTCCTAGACTTTTCGGCTATTTTAAAGGATACATACTAGACAACCGAAACGGGTACCGATTCTCCCATTGTAAATACTTTGCTCCAGGGCCTAACTAGAATTATTATCGCTGGATGGGATGAATTGGATAAGAGAATTAAGAATAGATCATCTAGAAAACTAAAAACTACAAGATTACTTTAACTCATGAGTGTAACAAAATTAATAATTATATATAAACATATACATACATATATCTATTGTAATATTTGCTAATTGTAATTCGAAAAAAAGAAAACTAACTAGATGTGTATATGGGAAACGATTTACTTTAAAATTGAAAATAATGCGTAAACAATTTATGAACAAACTAAGCGAATATTTGAAAAATATTTTTACTATTGGAAAAGAACTGCCAGAGCAAAACACCACACATAAAACACAAATAAAAATAAAAGAGAGGCAATATACATATAGCTAACAACCAATACCAAGCCCCAAGAAATGTCTCTTAGCCAGAATCAATAATTGAATTAGTATAAACGAGAAAACTCTTTTAATGCAATACTAAATTGTACTACTATATGGTATATCTATGTAGACGGTAAGAAACTAAAGGTCTAAATGTATTAAACTTTAGTTAGCCACCCCATAGAACCCAATCCCAAAAACCAAACTGAAAACCAATGCTGAAGATTGTAGTCAACAAGAAAGATATTAAGGTAGAGGTAGAGGTAGAGAAGAGAGAGGGTTCTGTAGCAGTACGCAGAACGCAGTCTAGTCATCCCCATAATATGGGGGCCAGCGATGCGAAAGGAAGTTTCTTTAGCTGTAACTCTAGCTATACTTAGTTATACCATTAGACGTGTACAACAGAAGACCAAAAGGAGATCCGGATCGTTCGAGATTTTACTTCTGTGCTTCTACACGGAACACCAGAGATGGTCTCGATAAGGAAATCTAATAAATATATACATAGCTAACTTGAATAAGATTCTTAACTTTAGTGAGTGAGCAGGCGTTTGGATAAAGATACGTTTGAGTATCTGGATAGGGAAACGAGAATGGGGACGGTAACGGTAACGGTAATGGTAACTGAAACGGAACTCATTTCATTCTGACGATAGGATGATAGGCCGCCAAAAGTTGAAACTCAAAATTTTGTTAGGATTCCTCCTTAGATTTTTGTCCATGAAGTACACTTAATTTCGACTACATGTAAATTCCTTTTCCATATTTTTCAACCTAATTACATTTCGGAATATCAAATAATGGATTAATAATTAATTAATAATTACAATAAACATCAAATGGGGTTTCATCTAAGACAAAAACATATACCAATCCAAGATGGAGTCAAACGAAGGCAGAGAACGAGTTTGAGATACTTTAGTTAGCCAATTATTGCCAAATTTGAAGTTGAATAATGTAACTTAATTGAATTTTGATGGCTTATTAGCACGCTTATCGCAGGACAGGACCTTGACCCTGTCACGTTTGTTAGATTTATTCCCATTGATTTCTCCGCAGTTTTCTGTTAGAGCGCATACTACAAATACATATATCTGTTGTTGGGAATACCCGTATAATACAAGGAACTACATCGATTTGGTTGTGTTGTTGATGCAAAGTGTGGGCCAGGCTTGCTGGCACGTAAAGAGGTGGCTTGTGTAATGACAATTTTATTAAATTAATTTTATGCATTGAGATCTATGTATGTATGAATGAAACGGAGAAGAAAGAACATTTAAAGCTTTATTTTTACTATAAATTAATTAATTAATTTATAAGATTAAACAATAAATCAAATCAGCATTGACTTCATAGCCGAACAAGACACGAACGAAACAAATCGAATTCAAATGAATGAAATCTCGGTGATGTTCGTTCATTTTATAAGAGATCACCGAAATTCAGATCAGATCGAATCGAATCAGTTTAGAGAAGGCCCCGATTTGCAGCAGGTAAATCGAGCTTATTGTGTGAGCATTTCAAAGCCGTTTACATTGCTGAACACTCTAAAATCTGAAAAGGGTAAAATGAAAAAAAAAGAAGAAAACATAAAAACTAAAATACAAATAAAATCAAAACCAAAAAAAATTCTTAAGATATGAAAACTGTTGCGTTTCTCTATGGTTCGGGGGAAAAACATCGCCTCATCGAGTGCCATCCATCGATCGATCGTGGCTGCATGTCGTAATCAATGAGATCTGAGAAAAAGCCGCAAAATTGTTCAATTACAACAGTGGAAACCACACACTCATCGCATTGCACTCCGCTGCCGTTGCGACGCCTGCAATTAACGAGCTGCTTGAGTAGTCGAGTCCATTAAACGGCTTTAGAACGAGCCCGAATGCCTCGAAATACCTGGATAGACCCCGAACCCAAACCCAAACCCAAAGCCAAGCCCGAACCCAAACCCAAACTCGAACCGGGCCGAGAGCCACCTGAGCGAATTGAGAGCCCAAAACAAAAGCGCTAACAAAGCTGGCAAGCAAAACAAGCCAAGATCAGGCCCGAAACGATGACGTAGCGGTTCGTTCCAATCCAACTTCCACTGGAAGCCAGAAAAGCTCGCGACTGGGGCCGAAGCGCTGCGTTGGATCGCTCGAAATTGAAGCTCGGATCGGGCCAGCGGCGGAGCTGCCAATTTTAGTCGTTGTGAGCCACTCGTGCGCGCTGGACGTGTTTGAATTTGATTGCTAACCCGCGTTTCCCTCCCCCACGAATCGAAGTGTAAGCAACAAGTGTCAAAAGGGAGACAAAACCAACAAGATCCGACACCATCTATCTATATATACCTTTTGGGCATACATACAAGTACATACGTGCATGCATATACTCGCAGTCGTATGTACTCGCATGCGCATATTTGTGCCGTGTTCCCTCCGACTTTTTAATAACTTTTGGATCGCTCTACCCTCGCACAGTGCCGCGTCACTCCCCGTCTAACGTTCATCTTAACAATATTTTTTTTATGGATCTTCATGTGTCTCGCTCTTTGCTTTGTGTTTAATTTTTAATTCTTTTTTTCGCTTATTCCGCTTTGGCTTTGTGGTTTCGTTCGCTCGAAAGACTGGCGTGCCGTGTGGCGAGGCGGGCTTTTGTTCTAATTTTGAGCTGCTGCTTAAATTAGAGGAGATATCTTTCGTGTGGAATTTGTGCTAAACACGTGAACGGCTCGGTGCGGGGTGTAGCGACGCGACGGGACGGCGGCCGTTCCGTGGCGTGTGAATCGGCCAAAACTAGCCCACAATCGTACTCATAAATACTAAAAGTCGCAGGCGGGGTCTAGTCCGACGAAATTATTCAGATATCTGGCCTGGCCGGGCCGGGCCGAGCCGAGCCGGGCCTAGCCCATTGCATAATAGGCGAATGCGCGGAGAAGCGAAAACAAAACCGAAAGCGAATCTGAATCTGAGTCTGAGTCTGAGTCTGGCTCTAAGTCTTGCCTCTGAATCTGGTTTTCCGTTTTCGCTGTTCGATTGGTTTCCTCCAAAGTTTCGGGCCCCAGCCCCAGCGGATGGCTGACTCTTTGGAAACCTTTTCAGACTCCCAATTGTAATCGCTGCGGCTTTTAAGCGAATAAACGAAGCAAAGTAATGAGCAAAAATTAAAAAACAATAGAACACAGACCCCAGAATGGGGAATGTAGCAAACGCAGAGGCACGGGCATGGGCATGGGCACGGGCACGGGCAAAGCAAGGCTTGGCTGCGCTTTGGCGACGCCTAACGGCATTAATCAAAAGACTGAAGACACAAACTTGGCTAAGGCCCAAACCGTACAATCGTAGAATTCGTACGGTGTACAGGGAGGGTTTTCTATCCATGACAACAGCTATAAATGTTGCCAAAAGCAAACGCTTGTTGGGCCCCGCCAATTCCATAGAATCATGCCTTAATGAGCCATCATATACTCCAAAGGCGTGGCCCTTAAACATTTGGCATGTGTTACAATCGGTTTTGGGCCCACAGGAAACAGACTTGCAAGCAAAAAATAAGACAAATCGAACAGAATTACATTCCGTTTAGTCTTCAAGCATGGACAACTTAGTTCCACCATCTATGTATAGTCTAGAGATATCCCATTCATCACCATAATTATGCTTCTGTCCTCCAGTCTGGTTAGTCTCCAACATTTCGAACTTAATGACGATGTCGTAGAACATTTACCAACATATATTCCCACAGCAGCAGCAGCAGAATTGTTAACAGAGTTGTAGCTCGAAAAAATCCCTCCAGTCATTCACAAATCAATGACCATTTGGTGCTGGCTTTTGGCAAAAGTCAAACTTGAGATCGCACCCACGTTCAGAACGAGGCGTTGAACCACGCCATGTGGGTGGCTGCCAGATGACAACGACGGCTACGACGACGACGACGACGACGTCGTGGCAGATCTGTGTGGGGGTTGGCAAGGCAAAACAAAAAAAAACATATAAAATATATTCGGACAGCAAGCAAATCGAGAAGTGTAAAAAATACCAGACACCTACGTGCTTAAGTCATTCTATGATATGGATATACTATACTTTCGTATGGGTATCCACATATCTATCTATCTATAGATTTACCAATGCAATACGCTGACGCTGACATATCGTTAGATATTTGGAAATTACGTAATGCCCTAAACTAGGTGTGTTTGCCTGGCCCTCTTCTACCAATTTTAGTCACGACAAAACGATGTTAACACTTTCCTTGTTTGTTTGCTGGCCCTCTAGAGTGAGGAGAGTAGGGGAGTGGATCGGAGCGGAGCCGAGCCGAGTGGAGTTGACCAACTGTGCAAACTGCCAAACAAAGGCAGGCGGTCAGTGCGTCAGCGACATTCCCATTCCCATTACCATTCCCATGACCTTGTCCGAGCTGAATATAGAACACAGAGTGAGGTGGAGCCGAGTGCTGCGGGCTGCAACTAATTAGGTTCATTGCCAATGTCAAGTGTCAGTACTCGTAGATGACATCAGCCGGGGATCACTCATAATTCGGAGGAGTTGCTCCCCCAGCCTTTTCTCCGCTGTTCCGCCATTAATTTATGCAATTCAGGCAACGCAATTACTTTCGTACTCTCCAGTGTCGGCCAGTGTCACGTAAAGATATTGCTCAGACAACTCATCCAACTCAAACACTCGCAGATGAGTGCGGTGAGATGAGTGAGAGTGATGTCATCTGCGATGGGGGTAAACAGTTTGAATTGTTTGCCAATCAATAGTATTTGGAGATCTGCATATAGCCCCGGTTCAGAACTGGTGTTGGCTATGATATACATGCTCGGTTATGGCTACGGTTATGGCCTTATGAGTGCTAACCGGATTTCCTATAATTAAGTCTGCTAGACTCTCTTTGACGCCTCGTTGTCTTCGGTCTATGGGAGCCGTGGCACCATGCCAAGAATGCAGAAATCCAAACAGAAATCTTGCCACTGGCTTTGAACATTGTTGCCACTGATTGCTGTCGAGCGGGGGAGCTAAACAAAACAGTCAACTTTCAGTTTGCTCAAATTGTTAGGGTAAAAGTGCGACAAGTGAAAACAGCCAGACAATTGACAATTGATCGTGGCAGATTTCATTACTAGCCGTACTTTATTGTTATTGTTATTGTTAATACTATCAGCAGCTCCCACGTTTACACCGAGCAAACCTCGGCGGCCTTCTGGAGTGGCTTTTGTGAAAGACTTATACACATGGCACTCTGCCCACCAGATCTCAGCGGGCCCCAGCGAATTGTGTTGCGGCGAAATTCCAACCTAAGTGATTTCTGTTATTTTTCAGACTCTTTTCTGTACGTGTACGAGTAGTATATTCAATTTTCCTTTTCGCTCGCTTCGTTTGGGCTTGGAGCTGACGAAACCAGTTTTATTTTATAGCCAGATTCAGATTCAGAGATATTCGCACATGAGCCCACCACATTTTTGCCTCTCTCTCTCTCGTTGGAGCTTTGAGCTTTGGGGCATGACGTCATGGTTTGTTTTGGCCAGACCAGATCTGAGCAAGAGAGAGAAGTTACACAGCACAGCTCCCAGCTTGTAGCCAACAGTCCCCATTGAGCCACGAACGTGTGCAAACGAAACTGAAACTGAAACTTGTTATTGTTGTGTCGCGTCTAATCAATAAATGTTCTTTGGCTCTCGTTTCCCGATCAGTGATAGATCATAGCCATAGCTATATGTATGGAAAGTAAAGTGAAGTGCGACAGTGCGAGAGTGCAGTGAGAAGAGCGCCAATACGATGGACGTCAAAGACATAAAGGGCGCCAAGGTGACGCATGCGGGTCTTCTGAAGCACAACACCGATGGCAGCACCGAGACGCAGAAGATCACCCACGCGGGCCTGGTGGCCCGCAGCCCCGAGGGCACCGCCGCCAAGGGCATGAACATACGCGGCAACGAGGATCTCTGGGTGGAGATCCAGGCGAACACCTTCCGCAACTGGGTCAACGAGCATTTGCGCGAGACGGGAATGCAGGTGAGTTCCGCTGTCAGTCGCTGTCAGTCGTTGTCAGCGGGTTATGCAACACTTTCTGGCTGACCGATCAAGCGAAAAAAAACAATTACATTACCAATTCAATGGGGCTAGTCGGGGGATGGCTAAGTATGTAGAACTATCGAATGGCTGTCGGAGCAGGGCCTGAGAACGTTGATCAGCGGTCATCCGCGGATCGCGGATCGCTGATCGCCGATCAAGCTGAAAGTGAACGCTTGTGTAAGCCGAGACCCCTTCCACGCTTGGGCAGGTGACAAAGCGTCAATCCGAATTATAAACTGGAGCTCTGAGCTCTTCCGCAACTCGCCTTAAATGGCCTGCCTCATAAAACTCAGCTCAACCCGGCCCGCCCGCCCACGCGCCTCAGCGACTTCAATGGCAAGCGGACTCCCCCCGCTCCACAGCGCCAGCATGAGCGATTACAATTATAATAATTCCATGAGTACGTGTACGTCTGCGAGTAGTTTTCCAGCAACAATGCATTTCATTTGTCAATTATATGACCAGGGACGGGACTACTGGCTGACAGTCAGTCGTAGTGATTTTCTCACACGCACAACACAGTCCGGTCCGACTTGAACCG